TCTTCACTCGTCTGCTTAAGATCTACATGAATGCTTTAAACATCATTCACTCACTAGGTGCCTAATGCAAAGCTTATTTAGTCAAAGCGCTTCCATTGACTTCTGTATCCTTACCAATCAACTAGCTGCTGCAGGCTTCCAGTTTTATCACAATATTAGACTGCTTTTCTCTTTTTCCCATGATCTTAAAAGGCAAAGAAAGAGATATACTTTAGTTTGCCCTGTCTGTTCTTTAATGTGCTTAGATTGCAGTTATTTCCTGCTGAGCCCTGGATGAGGTTTAGTTTGTTGAAGAGCAACTTTTTAATCATCTCAGAGAGTGAATGAACTGAAAGATATGTCAGGCTTCTATCAGAAGATGAAAAATGTGGAAACTTATTGGTGCCTCTTTTCCTCTAGATATATTGTAGGTCATAAAACCCCACTCTGTACAGTACTTATTACTCTTATAAAGGAAGCTAAAAATGTAATTACGCAAAGCATGATCACCAAGAAATTTTGCAAAACAGTTAAAGCAGGTATAAAAGTATGACTGCCTGTGCACGGGAAAAAGTGCAAAAGAAGCAGCAGGAGAACAAATGATTTCAAAGTCAAGCTATGTCATCTTCCTCACAGGAAGGGTGGCTACAACCCCTTCCCTCTTATTTTGAAGAATTAACATAGCAGTGCAAAACATTTCAGAAGCAAAACTTATCAGAGTTTACCAGCGTACAGAGCAGCACTTAACAGACTAAAATATATTTGGCTACTGGATGGACCCAGCTTTATTTTTTTCCCATCGGTTCTTACAGGATCCTGTTTTAAGATGATATAATCAGGCCCTTCCCCATCCTCTAATTCTCATCTCGGCTAAATGCCGAAGCTCTTCCCTAAACTTGTGCACTACAGGCATGGATCTGTAAGTTTATGTTTTAATCTAGTTCAGAGAAAGGTATAAGGGAATCCACCTCTTCACATTTGCTTTCTTTTGCTCACAATTAACAGCAGATGGTAGCAGGTGAATAGCTCTTACTTTTTTCAATGAATAGTCTTGCCTCTGTTAGGGTCAAAAAAAGGATTAAGGAAAAATGGTATGCTCCTGCACTGTACAGCTAACGACGTGACCTCTAAGGGTTGTAATGTTACATTTTTCATATGAAAAGAAATGGCAAGTCTAACATTATAAAACACCTAGCAAAGCAGTTTTAATCATTGCAGAACAAGGCCAAATAAGACTGTCTGATGAGCATTCGACATCTTGGTTCTAATCTAAACTACTTTCCTGCCAACATATTTATTTTCCTAATTTATAATAACTATGTTTTTGTATGACACTTGTTTCAACCAGAGAGCAATGATTATTTTTGCTGAGGTTCGCAAGTTAAGTAGGTGAGTATATATGTAGACTTAAAAGGATTATTAAGTCTATTTGGCTATTTTTAGGTATAGTCAATAACATATATTGGCATTAACTTACAGAAGGGACTAGAGCACCACAGAATTCAGTTATCCATAACAGACTTTGAATTTTAATACCAAAGATTCCTCCTCTGAACTCAGCAGAGTTGCCATCTTGCTTGGGTATTTTCTTTTCTACTGAACAGGCAGCTGACACCATAGATTCATGAAGATATGCCAGATCTTTTATGCTATCCTGAATTATATTAATAATAAATTAAAGCTGCACAGGATGTACTAGGAATATCGGACAAAAGATTTTATGATCTGGTGATTCTCATTTAAAAATAAAAGAAAGTCTTAACTCACAGCAAAGATGGAACTGAAAAATATTAGAAGATTGAGAAGTCATCAAAAGTGTGTAGAGACAAAATGATTTTACAAAGTCTGTTTACTAAGTTCTGTATATAAAGGGTAACTGGCAGAAGTAAGTGGGAGCAGGAGCTTGAGAAGTATCTTAATATATCTATAACAGCTTAGTATATTTTATACTGCTATCCATCAAATTTCATGATATAAGACTTTCATTTGCATATGTGGTTGTCTGGAACACAAACTTCTTTTACACTGTCTACAGAATGAGCTACTTTGACTTTCCAGCAGTCCACCAAATGAAGCAGAAATGATTGCCACTTATTCAAAGACAAATATTAAGGTGAATCTGGAATACGTTAAAAAAACCTACAGAAGTGCAAAACTGTGGTGTAACTTAATCTAGGAAAACCCATTCGTTAGCACCTTGCTGGGTGACTGCGCAGGTCGTTGCACTTCCTTTTATCTCATAGTGATGATTTACAAAGCACTTTGAGACCTTCGGTATGTTCTTTAATGATACCAACCTTGGAACTGTTGTAACAAGAAAATCCTACATTACTTCCAAAAGTAACTGTGTTGTTCTCTGCTACTGGATTCATATACATGTCAGCCATGCCCACTTAATATTTTCAGCAACAATGAACACATTTTTTTTTTCCTTTGTCAGTGCTACCTGGCTCTCATACATTTCATTTAAATTAAATTCAGTTTTAATTATCTCCCCTGAATGTCTCATTGTGTTTCTTCAAGTAGAAGATACAGTAATGATTCATAATTTCCCTTGATTTTTGATGGGAATTCATCCAAACTCACCTTAAATGCTTTTTTCTCCCCTATATTTTGCATTCAGAGCAACTGAACAATACTTCAATTAAAAAAAAAACACAACAAACCAACCTATAAAATAATTGGGCTGGATGCAGCACTCATTTATATCCCTGCAAATCCAGGAAATCCAGTAGCTGCATATGAAGCATAAATCTAACCAAAATCTCCCTTCCCTCATGAAAATTCATATGCTTTATGAAGACCTTTCATTATTTTTTTTTTCTGATTTTAAACATAATCTATGTGTCATTTCTGCATGGTTAGGCTTTTGTCAACATCTTGTGGGGAAATAACACCAAACAAACAAGTCCAAAAATGCTGTCTGCTAAACATCTTTCGTAACAGCTTCTATAGAATAATGTCAAAAAAAAAAAAAAAAAAGAGAAAAAGAAAACTTAATCACTGTGAACTGGGGAATTGTAAGGAATATATATATATATACTGCAAGAATCACAACCACTTTAGCTTTAGCTAAATATTACTTTTCATCATTTTCCATAAATGTGAGAACTCAGAAATGCTGATGGAATCATGCCTATGCACGAACTTTTTATTTTGAACAGACCTCAAATATTACTTTAAGAATGAGCAATTATATTCATGCGAGATTTAACCACTGTCATCCAACACGGATTATATTTGCTCTGTCAGTAACTTTTGTGGTGTATTATCTAGTTCAGAATTCTGACAGAGTGAAAGAAGATTTAAAGTAACTGGCTCCATGCTTAGCTAGTATTCAGTTAAATAAGCAGAGACGTAGTTATTATCTTCTTAGAAGTAAATCTGTGGTTTCCTTTTTTAAACTCTTAAGTTTTAAAGTCCCCCAGAAAGGCTGCTGCTCAACGAATTATTTGTTCACTTCTGCCTGTTACATGGTACTAGATGGGGAGCAGATTAGCAGCACTGTGAAAGACACCGAGCAAGTGTCAGCACTCCCTGTAATTCAGCCGACCTCCCAGTATATTCACTGCAGCGAACCGTGGGAGCTCTGGAGCTGCCGGAGGGAGGCTGTGGTCGGGAACTGAGGTGAAGAGAGCACAACAGGATCACACCAGAACAGCACGACGCTTTAGAAAGAGGAAAGGTCAGCGTGGGCTTAGTGCTGTTGTGGTGTCATTTCATCTATTTGTCCCTTGGTGGAGTTCTTGAGTTAGTTTCTTCCTTCCGCCAAATGGATTTAACCGCTTTGTGTGAGGTTTTTGTCCTTGTTTTTACCCTGCTTTCGAATTTGCTGTCATCTTTACTGTATTTAACCTTTCCCTCGTATTATTATGAATATGTTACTCTCAAGCCGATTTTTTTTTTTCCTTTGGAGGCTTTTCCCTAATTTGTGTGAGTGTGTGTGCGTGCAAATAATATGTAATATATATGTGTTACGGTAATGAGCGATATAGATGGGCAAATACTCTGTCTCTCTTTAACCCGAGATGGATTCCCACTGCAGATCCCAGAAGTAATTTTCCAGTGAGAGCCACCGACATTCCTAAACTGCAAAAAAAAAAGCCCAAATTGTCGTGGGCTGAAAGCGCCAACTGCGGACGTGAGTCGAGACACCAGCAGCACAAACGGGACTCCGCCAAGAAATGCATATGAACAAGCCATTACTTGCATCTGCATATTTTAGCCATAACCCCTCTGTCTTTCCAGCCAACAGCTACAACAAAAACAAAGCCTCGCTACAGACCATCGAAGAGAGCTGCGGGGGAATGCAGAGGAGCTGGGAAAGCTCCCAGGCTGCTTTAGGATTTCCCCACGTCCAGAAGGCTGTAAATGTCAGCAAGTCGGATTCCCTCCCACACGCAAGATGCCTCCTCGGTGGCCTTATCAGATGTTCCCTTTAAGGACACGAGCTCTTATTTCAATTCTGTATGTCTCTCGCATCTCTAGCTATTTTATTTATTACAGTCGATTACATTTGTGATCCCGTTTCCCACTTGATCTCACCAGTTCAGGAGGACAAACACCGTGTCGTGTCTGAGCGTGTGTCTGAGCAGCTGGGAGCCGGGGGGGGGGGGGGGGGGACAGAGGGAGGGGAGGAGGACACGGAGAGGGGTGGGGCATTTACACTGCGCAACAGATTTGATCGAGAGGGATAGACCTCCCCTGCCTGAAACAGCTGGATTGTTCCTATCGACACCCAGACAGCTGTGCGCGCACTGGCTGCGGGCCGAGAGTTGGGGGCTGGTAGTGTCATTCCTTCTGTCCCTGCACGAACGAGCGGGATGCGGGACACACACATACGCCCCAGCCAGCACAGCCCTGTCCCCCTCCGGCAGCCAGGGCACGTGGAGCGGGAGCAGCGCTGCTATCCACCATGCAGCGCACGTCGGGCCCATTTCCCACGCCGGCCGCCTGCCCTGGGGGAGGAAAGTAGGAGGAGGAAGGGGGAATGGTAGGAAAAGGAAGGGGGGGGCCGTTACCTCTGCTCCGAAAGAGGAACCAATTCACTCTGAAGGACGCAGCACTCCCGAGCAGGAAAGACATTGCACATTCAGGGAGATGTTGTATGTGAAGACACTGAAAAAAAGAAAGGGAGGGGCGGATGAGGGGCGCAGACCGCATGTGAAGGACACTGTGTGCGTAAGATAGGCCAGCGAGGATAAGACGGGAAGGGGGGAGCGAATGCACATGGCAAGAGAAAGAAATCACTCATTCGCTTGAAAGAGGCTCTCGCAAGGCAGACCGTAGGAGAAGTAGACATGGGAGACAACTGGGAAGGAGACGCTTCCCCGATTAAAGTTTATGGCGGGGAGCTTTAAAAACGTTTTCATCCCTCCCCTCCCCTGGGGAATACAGGAAGTTTCCTGGCTGCTCTTAAAAGCACAAAAGGGAACAGCGGGAGCTTTCGGTTGCAATTGTATTGCTAGTGCAGGGAGCCAATGTAATGCAGTATGCTGGTATTCCTGCCTCCTGATATGTCTAGATCTTACACTGTGGACAAAATTTCCTCCTCTCGGAGCTCAGGAACAGCGAGGGGAATTTTGATAAATTCAAGTTGCTTTGCAAATATAATAGGGATTTAGTACTAATCCTACTTAACCCGCTGCGAAGACGCTGAGCTCCCAAGCCCCCCTCCTCCGTCCGGGACTGCGGCGGTGAACACTGAGCCTGCGCCAAGCCGGGCTTTCTCGCTGATGCTGCAGATATAAAGCTGAGTGTCTCTAGCGTCGGAGGGGGCGGGTTTTCGTGTTCTGGCGGGGAGGTAAAGCGACCGGTGCCGGTGCCAGGGCCGGAGCCGCCGACGGAGAAACAGTTCTGCTGCTCTCCGGAGCGGGGAGCAGGAGCGGTCGAGCACCATCCCCCTCATCTCCCTCCTATCGCCGACTTCCTGCGGCGGGACTCTGCCCCTCTGTGCCTCTGGACTCCCCAGGGGAAGAGGTGGCAACCTTCCCTCCCTCTCACATTCATTCGCCGCCCCAGATGACAAAGACACACTGTGACCGTTGCTTTGAATCTCCTCGGCATATCCGGCCTCTTTTCTCTCAAATATGTCACCACGATGAAAGAGAGGCGTTTCACTACAGTCGTCTGCATGCATCTTTATTCAAAATAGCCATGTAAAAAGAGGAATGAACACACAGAACCAGCAATAACTTCTTTTCCCACATGTGTTCACAGGAGGAGAGCAGCTGGATTCCTGCCTCCCCCTTGCTGTACATACACACACGCACACGCCGGTTCTGTTCCCACTGGTCGTCCATGCTCGCCCTGGTCCTCCCTCTCCCGCCAGCCCCGCGGAGGCCAGCCCCGCGGAGCCCCTCTCTTTTCCCCCCGGGATCCGGGTGGAGAGAGCAGGTACGGGAGTCAGGCATCACCCAGGGCTCAGGGGCACACGCACACAAAAGCCATAGGCGCTTAAATGACACAAAGTCAAAAGAAGAGAACTAGGGACGCTAAGATAAAGTTGAGCAGAGAGCTTTAACATTAATTTCCCACTTATCCAGGTAGGTGACGCTAAGTTTTGGCAATCATCTAAGCAGCAAGTCTCGGCTCAGAAATAAATCTGTTACTTTTTACATGTGTTTATTCTACTAACCCTTTCGCCCCCGTCCTGATCATCTTCGCGTTTTTTTGGTTTTTTTTTTTTTTTCTGATTTTTTTTTTTTCCTAGGAAAGCACGTGAAAAGGCACATTCAAATCATGGTAACAGGAAAAACACGAACACAAAGATTAAAAGGCTCAAACAACACTGGGAAACAGGAAGAAATTCTAAGATCTAAGGCAGCCCCCCTTCCTCCCTGGAGTTTTATGCAGTTACAGTGACTGCAGCTCTTTCACAAAAAGCACCGACACGTCAGAGGAAGGTGGGAATCTGCGAAACGAGTTTTCTTACCAGCGTGATTCCGCAAAATGCAGAGCCCCGAACGTGCATCAGCTCTGCTTAAGAGAAAGACGAATAAATATTTCCTTTAAAAAAAATGTTGCTCTATTCACAGTCTACAGGGGAGGTGGGGAGGGAAAGTATAGGAGCGAATCACTACAGATCGCGGGTTTGAGGAGGCAACAGCAGCAACATTCGGGAGTGTAATGAGGATCGGGTTTAGGAACTGAACTGGTGGTGTGTGATGAGCAGCTATCCCACTTGCAGCACTAGCAGCGACAGAGACAGAGGGTAAGATTGGGCTTTCTGGAGTGCAGCGCTTGACTCGTCCTCCTCTCTCCTCCTCCTTCTCCTCCCTCCCTCACTCCCTCTCTCTCTCTTTGCTCTCCCTCTTTCTGCCTCTCTGTCTGTGTGTATGTAGCGCAGGCGGTTCTGCTGCTGCAGCAGCAGGGAAGAGCTGCTGAGAGAAGCTTCAGCAGCTCCCACCACTTCGGGCAAACTTGCTGGTTTACTGCTGCTTTCCTTTTTTTTTTTTTTTTTTTTCCCTTCCGAGTGGGAAGCTTCTCAGTTGCCATTCAACATTTTAAAGCACAAGCCGCTCTGCCGTGAAAGCGCCTGATCCACACTTCTCTGAGGCACAGGAAGGAATACACATTGCAGATTTCACCCACCGTGGCGGTGCAGATCATAGGAAACAACTGATTGATACAATTTTATTTGCAAATAGAACTCTGGGGTTTGTTGGTTTCTCTTTCTTTTTTTTTTTTTTTTTTTTTTTTTTTTAACCGCGTCGCGGCTGTCTCCTCCTCCCCTTGGCCATTCTGCTTCTATGGATGTAATTCAGAATCTGTGTTAATTCACGTGGGGGATCCAGTTACATCGTGTTCCGCTCCGGGTATATTTACGAGAGACAAGTAATCGCCTTTGGACACATAGTTTTGTTGCTAACCTTTGAACTGAAAGGATCAAGTTCAGATCTGGTTACCTGCATTGGGACGGGAAGGAAGAGGAGAGAGAGGGGGAGAGAGAGACTGCAATCTCATTTGTGAGTCGCTCTCAGTGCTGCAGATCCAGATTGCTATAACACATGCAGTGCAAATGCAGGTAAGGCACACACACAAACTGCGGATGCTAAAGCAAACTTGGGACTGTTGTGTTTGTATATATATATCTACAGCCTTGCAAATTCTGGGCAAACGGCTTCTGCAGTTTCTGTATCGTTGCTTTGTGACTAATGACCTTGCGCAGAGTTGTTAAAAAAAAATCCGCTCCGGAGAAAGAGCTGAACATTTAACATTTTAGGCGATCTCTGAAGATGGATTTGGGTGCTTTTCTGCCAACCAAAGGGGATATTCTGTGGACTGCTGTGTAATACACGGTTTTCTTCTCTGCAGCTACCGACATTATTGTTTTTTTTTTTTTCTTTCTATTTTTTATTTTATTTAATTTTTTAAGAACTCACCATTCCTAAGAGGATTTGGAGTTTTCCCGGACACAAGCCCATTGAATAAAGCGAATCACATTTTTTTCTTTATTTTTCCCGTGTGTGCAGAGCAGGGGAAGAATAAAGCTCATGCCTTGGTCGTAAACGGCTGAGAGAGAGAGAAAAGAGAGAGAGCGTGTGAAATGTAGTTAACTCTAGTGTCGAAGAAGACGACCAGGGGGCTTCGAATCTCATAGTGCTTCTCCAGCTTTTATTGCAAACCTTGCAAAACGATTACAGTAAAATCAGAGAGGAGGAGAAGAAGGGGAGGAGGAGGAAAATCCCATCCTGTCTACGGAGATGAATCTTTAAAAAGCAAAATACACTGTCCCGTGAACTGTAAGTATATCGCAACTGGAAGGCAGGGAAAGCAGGAGAGGAGCCAGCAGCAGGGTTTTGACTACCTATTGCACCAGCCACGAGACACTAAGTTTCCAGGAACAGAAGGATTTTATAATTGATAGCCCGGACACTCAGCCGCTCTGTTGGCTCATCAGGGGAGTTAATTGGGGGGGGGCAGGTGGGAGTGAGGGGGGGGGGGGGCGAGGAAGATGAGGAAAATGCGGACTCTTTTTGGCTTTGTGCATTGCTGCTGCTGCTGCTTCTTGCTCCTCCTGCCTCCGCCACTCTGGGTCAGCCTGGCATCGGCCAAGCAGCTCCTGAGGTACCGGCTGCCCGAGGAGGGACCCGCCGACATCCGCATCGGCAACGTGGCTTCCGACCTGGGAATCGTGACGGGCTCCGGCGAGGTGACATTCAGCCTGGAATCTGGCTCCGACTATCTCAAGATCGACAACATGACCGGGGAGCTGAGCACCACGGAGCGGCGCATCGACCGCGAGAAGTTGCCGCAGTGCCAGATGATCTTCGACGAGAACGAGTGCTTCCTGGACTTCGAGGTGTCGGTCATCGGCCCCTCGCAGAGCTGGGTGGACCTCTTCGAGGGCCGGGTCATCATCTTGGACATCAATGACAACACCCCCACCTTCCCTTCCCCCGTTCTCACGCTTACCGTGGAGGAGAACCGGCCCGTGGGGACCCTCTACCTGCTCCCCACCGCCACCGACAGGGACTTCGGCCGCAACGGCATTGAGCGATACGAGCTGCTGCAGGAGCCCGGCGGGGACGGCGGCCGCCGGGGCGGCGGAGGCGGGGGTGGCGGGGGGGGCTCTGCCTCGGCGGGCTCCGAGAGCGCCCTCTACCCCGGCGGCAGCAAGAGGCGGCAGGAGACGGAAGCGGCGGCCCGCAGCAGCGTCTTCGAGCTGCAGGTGGCCGACACTCTGGACGGGGAGAAGCAGCCGCAGCTGATCGTCAAGGGGCCACTGGACCGGGAGCAGCGGGACTCCTACGAGCTCAGCCTCCGCGTGCGGGACGGCGGCGACCCGGCACGGTCCTCGCAGGCTATCCTGAGGGTGCTGATCACCGACGTGAACGACAACAGCCCCCGCTTCGAGAAGAGCGTCTATGAGGCAGACCTGGCAGAGAACAGCAGCCCCGGAACACCCATCCTGCAGCTGCGAGCCACGGACCTGGACGCAGGGGTGAATGGGCAGATCGAGTACGTCTTCGGGGCGGCCACCGAGTCCGTCAGGCGCCTACTGCGCCTGGATGAGACCTCGGGCTGGCTCAGCGTCTTGCACCGCATCGACCGAGAGGAGGTAAACCAACTTCGCTTCACTGTCATGGCCCGAGACCGGGGCCAGCCCCCCAAGACAGACAAGGCCACGGTTGTGCTGAACATCCGTGATGAGAATGACAATGTGCCCACCATTGACATCCGGAAAATTGGGCGCATCCCACTCCGGGACGGGGTAGCTAGTGTGGCCGAGGATGTGTTGGTGGATACCCCCATTGCCCTGGTGCAGGTGTCAGACCGGGACCAAGGTGAAAATGGTGTGGTGACCTGCACTGTGGTGGGTGATGTGCCCTTCCAGCTCAAGCCAGCCAGCGAGGGCGAAGGGGAGCCTCAGAACAAGCGCAAGTATTTCCTCCACACCTCGGCCCCTCTGGACTATGAAGCTGTCCGTGACTACAATGTGGTGATCGTGGCCGTGGACTCTGGCAGCCCCAGCCTGTCCAGCAACAACTCCTTGCTGGTGCGGGTAGGGGACACTAATGACAACCCTCCCGTGTTCAGTCAGGCCGTGCTGGAGGTCTCCTTCCCAGAAAACAACTTGCTTGGTGAGAGGGTGGCCACAGTGGTAGCCACAGATGCAGACAGTGGCAGGAACGCTGAGATCACCTACTCCCTGGAGGCCTCGCCCCTTTCCTCAGACGCACCTGGTGGCATCTTCAGCATTGACCCTGACTCTGGGGATGTGTCAGTGCAGGCAGTACTGGACCGTGAGCAACGCGATACCTACGAGTTTCAGGTGACAGCCCGGGACAAGGGGGTGCCATCGCTGCAAGGCTCCACCACAGTGGTGGTGCGGGTGGCGGATCGCAATGACAATGAGCCACGCTTCATGCAGGATGTGTTCACTTTCTATGTGAAG